TTCACCACCACCTCCTAGCACAGTCCAGCACATGAAGGCAGCCATGATAACAAACTCAGCAGACTGACAAACACTCGTCAATATTAGATAACAAGACACCAAGCTTGGGGGAGGACGGGGGATAGGAACCAACACCACGCACACACAACACCACCACGCCACTCATCACTTCTAGTATCATTCTGGCTATTGCCATCACCACACGCACGCACAAACGCACACGCGCACACACCCACCCACACACGCACGTACAGACACGCACACACACACACACACTCAGGAATCTATACATCAGTTGATTGACGGTTGAAAGGCGGTACCAAAGAGCCAAAGCTCAACCCCACTTACCCTCCTTTTACCCTATAAGAACCTGCCCCCTAGTCCCCCTCTGCCCCTTGCACATCCCCTGACTCTCACAACCTCTCTTCCCCTCACACTCACCATGCTTCATACTCCCCTCTGTCCCTCCCTCCCCCTCTTACTCTTTCCTCCTCTACCTCTTATTCTCAACCTCACTCTACCTCCCAGCCCCCCCCCTCTCCTATGCCTCTCTGACCCTCTCTACGTTTCAGACCCACAAAGCCCTTCAGACAACCTTTGTTGCACAGACCCCCTCTGCCCCCTCCCCCCAAGACCTCTGTTTCTCAGAACCCGTTTCCCTCTTATCTTCCACCTCATTTCCAGGCACTTTTCCCCCTCACAACCACTTATCGTGGATAAACTTGCAAATATCTCTCACTTGCAGCACACACCAAGGGAACCAAATTGGCAGAAGAAGTATGTGAATTCTGGTAACAGAGTTTCCAAGAAGAGTCTCAAGATTTGGTACACCAATGCTGATGGGGTATCAAATAAAGCAGAGGAAATAAAAGAAAGAGTGAAACAGAACCTGACATAATTGCAATAATGGAAACTTAATAATGGAAATAAACGATATGATCTTTGATGCAACTTTTGCAGGGGGATACTAAGTGATAAGAAAAGAAAGAACACAGAGACAGGCAGAGGGAGTGGCACTCCCATTAAAGCAGAAATGGAAGTTTGAGGAACTGGAAAATCTGGGACCAAACGAATACACAAGCTCTATCATTGGGACTCTGATAGCAGAGGGGAAGAGGATTGCTGTCATGGTACTCTATAATCTCCCACCAGACAGAAGACCCAGACAGGAATATGTCGACAAATACAAGACATGTATAGATGACCTGCAGAGGACAGCAACAACCTCTCATAGAATGAGAGCGAAACTGCTGGTCATGGGGGACCTAAATCCCAGAGAGATCGACTGGGAATCGAGGAGTCTGTATGGAGGGGAAGAAACATGGGAAACAAAATTAGTGGAAGTTAGAGATTGAAACTTCCTAACATGTGAGGGAAGACACAAGAGGAAGGGATACACCGAGGCAATTAGACCTGACCTTCACTCTAAACGAGAAAGACATCGAGAATTTGGAACAAGAAATACCACTAGGAGCCAGTGACCATTGAGTCCTAGTCTTTGACTACACGATTGAACTTAAAATTCACAGGACAAGAGGTCTGGGAATGGAGAGTTGACTATAGGTAAGGGGATTACAGGAGGATCAGAGAATATCTTGGAGATATATAATGGGGAGGAAGAACTTAAGGGGGGGGGGGGGTAAACAGTACAAGAAATGATGGACCTAGTCATATGGAAATACAAGGAAGCCGAAGAGAGTTTCATATGAACAATAAGGGGAAACAAGTAGAGGGAATATAATAACCCATGGTTTAATAAAGGTGTCAGGTAGCAAAAATGAGCAGGAGGGAGTGGAGGAAGTACAGAGGACAAAGGACAACAATAATAAATGCAACAGAGCTATGAACGAATACATAAATACAAGAAGAGAATTGGAAAGAAATTACGAGAACGATATTGCTATCATAGCAAAAAGACACCCAAAATTACTACATAGTTACCTAAGAAGGAAAATTACAGTGAACGACCAAGTAACAAGACTATGGAACACGGGAGGAGCATGTACAGAAAGCGATAAGGAAATGTGTGAGATACTCTCCATGCCAGTTTCCACGGAGAGTCCACAACGGAGCCTGAGCAGCTCCCATTGTTAGAAGGGAACTATCAGGAGAAAGCGACAAGCCATTACGACTATATAGCACATGGAAGGGATCAGGATAAGGATTTGGGATGGGACGCGGGGGAAAGGAATGGTATCCAATCACTTGTGGACGGTCGGGGATTGAACGCCGACCTGCATGAGGCGTTCTCTCTCATGAGAGAGAGGAGATGGAGAGGCACATAATATTTAGGGGATTGACAGAGTGTAAATAAATGAATGAAATGTTTACAATGAATACAACAGAACAAGGGGGGTGGAAACTTAAAACTCAAATGAGTCACAGAGATGTTAGAAAGTCTTCATTTATATTAAGAGTAGTGGGAAAATGGAACGACATAAGGGAGCAGGTTGTGGAAGCAAACTCTCTAATTCACAATTTTAAAACTAAATACGATAGGGAAATAGGACAGTAGTCATTGCTTTAAACAACTGATGGCTCGTATGGCGGGGAAGTTAGGACGTGTGATAATGGTATGATTGACAGAAATACTTAGGAGCTACAAGCACTTTGCCCCAAGAGTATAACATTTATATGATGTTAACTATTTTAACCTGCAATGTTAAATGTGAATCTTGTACTGTGATTTGTTGATTTGTACTAACTTGGGGTCCTTCAAGGGGTTTGTGAACCCCTTGAAGGACCTTAAGTAGAGGAGGGTAGAAGTAGCCTAAGCTACTCTATCCTTTTAAGATGAATCTTATTGCCTCAATAAACGTACTTGAACTTGAAAGGCGGGGTCCAAGAGCTAATGCTCAGTCCTACAAGCAGTACTCAGAGTAACAGAGACGCCAGGTACTCATGTACACCATCTTCTCACTCATGACAATTTTCTAAGTTATTTTAGAATAAAATATTGTTAATGTCAAAAGCAAAAAAATGGACGTAAAGTCACGATAAAAACTGCAAGATCTGCAACAGTATATACGATGAATTTATGCAAAAAAAGTTGACCATCCATAAAAATCATTCTGGACAAAAATCTGTTGAAAATATTTTAACATTTCCCACAAAAGCGTCAGAAAACGAGAATTAACATGTAAAATGATGGAATGTAACATGAATAGGAGCTGTGATTTTTTTGTTTAGTTGACGGGAGGGGATTGGGGAGAGGGAGGGGGGGTGGGAAGAGGGGGAGGGAGTGGGGAGAGGAAGAGGGGGTAGGGAAGAGGGGGGTAGGGATGGGAGAGGGAGGGGGGGTAGGGGAGGGGGGGTAGGGAAGAGGGGGGAGGGATTGGGGAGAGGGAGGGGGGGTAGGGAAGAGAGGGGGAGGGATTAGGGAGAGGGAGGGGGGATTAGGGAAGAGGGGGGAGGGATTGGGGGAGGGGAGGGGGGTTAGGGAGAGGGGGGGGGGGATTGGGGAGAGGGGGGGGGGTTGGGGGAGGGGAGGGGGGAGGGATTGGGAGAAGAGGGGGGGGTTAAAAAGAGGAGGGGGGGGGGGGAGAGAGGAGAGATATTTCGTTGGTTTCGTAAAAAAAAAATTGAATTTGTCACACAAAAAAGTTTGTTGTGTCGAGAAAGAGAGACTTTTTTTTTATTTAAATGATGGGAAGAACGATGTACAGCAGAGCGCTGAACTAAGCTACATGAACGGTGCAGCCCGTCCTCTAAAACAAAGGCCAAAAGTCCATTCCATCCACCCGCCAAACCCCCAGCTGTTTATGAATGAAAAACGGGTTACACACGACTCAAAACTGATGACGTCCGAACACTTCCGGAACAAGTGCTTCACTGACGAATTTTGTTCGAACCACAACGCTGTAAATGCTTCACCCACGTACTACAAATACAAATAATCGCCAACAGAACCTAAACACCTAACCAAACATTACCTATTCCTATATATGTACACATATTATAATATTAATTTATATTTGAGAAAAATCTTGTTTTGAATGAACAGCATGTTAAAATTTCTGAATGCGTCTGTGGGGTCGACCACTGGATGGAATGGACTTGGTCTGAGGACGAGTTGGAACGGTTAGGCTGACATTCCGTATTCCAAACAAGTGCTCGTTAGAGCGGATGTTCTCTGATAGTCACAATCTCAATCTCTGATAGTCACAATCTCTGATAGACACAATCGCTCTCACCTACTCTCACACTCTCTCTCTCAATTATATAATCCGCTCTACCAAATCGCCTTCACTCAGTGTCCAACCCTGTCTGACTGCCTGACTGTCTTTAAACTAAGAACCTTGTTAATGAGAATTATCCCTAATGAAGCTACGAGCTAAGAGCCATTATCCTACGACAGCTCATCTTAAGCCCTGCTTTACAATCCATTTAATTATATTATGATTAATTTTTCCTTGCGAATAAACTGGATTTAATGCTAAGTGATACTCAGTTGAAGCACAGGACGAGCCCCCCCCCCTCTCTCTCTCTCCCTCTCCTCTCTCTCTCCCTCTCTCTCTCCTTCCCTCCTCTCCTTCCCATGTATTGCCATTTAATACATCCACCCTCATTTTCATTTCCATTCCCCTTCTCTCCTCATTCTTCTCCCCTCTTAGTCCACTTTCATAATCTCCTTTTTCTCACCCAGGTCGAAACTAACGCCCTCTATTGAGCCCCCTTCTCCCCTCCCCTCTCACCAGCTCCCTCTCACCCCTTTTATGTATTACCCTCTCTAAACCTTCCTTCTCTTCTCTCTCCAATGCTATTTAAAATCTCGCTCTACTCTCTCTCTCTCTCTCTCTCTCTCTCTCTCTCTCTCTCTCTCTCTCTCTCTCTCTCTCTCTCTCTCTCTCTCTCTCTCTCTCTCTCGCACTATTTACAACTTTTTCTCATGTTTATTGTATTCCTTTTTACTCAAGTTTCTCTATATACAGTTCCAATGCTATAATTTATATATATATATATATGTCGTACCTAATAGCCAGAACGCACTTCTCAGCCTACTATTCAAGGCCCGATTTGCCTAATAAGCCAAGTTTTCATGAATTAATGTTTTTCGTCTACCTAACCTACCTAACCTAACCTAACCTAGCTTTTTTTGGCTACCTAACCTAACCTTACCTATAAATATAGGTTAGGTTAGGTTAGGTAGGGTTGGTTAGGTCGGTCATATATCTACGTTAATTTTAACTCAATAAAAAAAAATTGACCTCATACATAGAGAAAAGGGTTGCTTTATCATTTCATAAAAAAAAATTATAGTAAATACATTAATTCAGGAAAACTTGGCTTATTAGGCAAATCGGGCCTTGAATAGTAGGCTGAGAAGTGAGTTCTGGCTACTAGGTACGACATATATATATATATATATATATATATATATATATATATATATATATATATATATATATATATATATATATATATATATATATATATCAACCACGCAATCACAGCACAGTAGTGATGATTGATCAAGCAGCCTGTTCTCCTAATGAGCCGCTCCGTAACAAATGTAACTGTTTTACCTGCAACGAACGAACCCAACCACCCTACCTCACCTATCGAGGCAGGAGCCCACATAAAACATCAGTTTTACGGTGTTTCAATGTTTATACTAATACGTCGCATTCTGAATGGATACAGCCCGGTAAACGTATCATTCCCTTAAGGTGAGTAATAGGAGAGTAAACATAGCCCAAACTGCTCTGTCCTTTTGAGATGTATGTTGCTGTCTCAAGAAACGTGCTTGCATTATGAGGTGAAAGCACTAAGCCAATATAGCATTCGGTAAGGATATAAGGATGAAAGGATTTAGGATAAGCGGAACGGAATTGTATCTCTCACTCTCTACATCAGGAGTGAGAGAGAGGGAGGGAGGGAGGTATGTTTGGGTAGGTAGGGAGGTATTGGTGGGGAGGGATAGGGTAGGGGGATAGGGTATTGGTAGTGTGGATGGAGGGTGGGGGGGGGAAGTTCCCCCCCTTAGGGAGTTGGGGGAGGGGAGGGGGGTCCATATTAACTATTACTGACAAGATGTATTTTTTTTAGTGTGCAATTCTCGTCACAATTAGTGCAATAAGGCAGTTACAATCTAATTTGATTGGGACGAACAAATTATAATAAACACACACACACACACACACACACACACACACACACACCACACACACACACACACACACACACACACACACACGCGCACACACACACACCACACACACACACACACACACACACACACACACACACACACACACACACACACACACACACACACACACACACACACACACACACACACACACACACACACACACACACACACACACACACACACACACACACACACACACACATTAGGTGAGTACACACACACTAATTATTAGGTGAGTACACACACACACACACACACACACACACACACACACAGGGACGAGGGACACAACAGTGAACCGGAAAGTCAAGTAGTTGATATAAACTCCATAAACTAATTCACATATAAACATAACAAGACTCATCAGGCGATTACTGGTTAAGAGGCGGGTCCCGGGAGCCCGAGCTCGCTCCCAGCATACACAATTAGATGAGCACAATCGCTTAAGTATCCATACACGCGGACACAGGTACACGTGTATAAACAGAATCGTATTTTATGAACTTCGTCAATATAAATCTTTGCATCTATATTAGCCAGAGATTGTTTACTAATTTGTATTACTGTTTATTAAACAGTAATTGTTTACTAATTTACATAAACAACAAAATGGTGGCAGCGGAGACCCCTCCTCCCCCTTTTTCCTTACTGTTTTCATCTCTTGAGATGATTTCGGGACTTAGCGTCCTCGCGGCCCGGTCCTCGACCAGGCCTCCTTGTTAGACGTCCGCAGTAAACAGCCCGTAGCAGCTGTCTAACTCCCAGGTACCTATTTACTGCTAGGTGAACAGGGGGCATCAGGGTGAAATAAACTCTGCCTCATTTGTTTCCGCCTCCACCGGGATCGAACCCGGAACTTTACGACTACGAATCCCGAGCGTTGTCCAGTCAGCCGTCCACTCCTTCACTCTTGAGTGAACGAGTGAAGGAGGCCCCTTCACTCTGCCCTCATGTCCCCTTGAAGAACTATATGGTCATACTGGCCTATCGTTTTCTCCTCATAATTACCTTAATACATGTATGAGGGGTCGACTTACTCATGATTGAATGCATGAGTGGATGAGTTACTCATGAGTGCCTCGGCTGCCCATTCCATCTCCACTGTAATATTAAAAGATGCGGTCAAATGATGTCAATATATCCGGGCCAACTGCTGTCAACAGCTTGGCCAACGTATATGACATGTGGCAGCCCAATAGGCTCCGCGGAACCTATACCCACCAGTTGTTTAGGGTTGAGAGGCGGTGCCCAAGAGCCGTAGTTCATCCCTAGGTGAGTTACCCACCTTCCCGACAGCATTCCTATTCCAGACACAGTGTTCTCTCTCTCCATCTTATATATATATAAGATGGAGAGAGATGGAGATACATCATCATGACGTATCATCATGATACATCAATGAAAGGATTCGAACCGGTGCGTCCTATAGTCGCCAAGAGCGCATGTGTGTCCGGAAACACCCAGCATGTAGGTTCGAATCCTTTATCACGGGTTCCTGAGAAATTTTCTCATTTCTCTCTATATTTTGCTTCTTTATTCACCCCCGTACCCCTCTCACTTCTTCCTCCTCCTCTCATTTCTCATCTCTCTCACTCGCCCCTCCTGGGCTGAGACCGAGGCAAGGAGACTCATCAATAAGCACTACCATTAAACCTGTGTTGAGATGGGTCCACGTCTTGTGAGAGGGGCGGGAGGAGGATTGAAGGGGCGGAGGCAAGAAAAGGGAGGGGGGAAAGAACGAGATGAAAGAGGCTGATGGAATGGGAGAGTGATGATGGGAAAGGAATGGTAGGGAGAGAGACGACAAGGGTATACATGTATAGACGCTGGTGGTACGATGGGAATGTATTCAACGTACGCGCTGAAAAAGAGTTCGACTCCATCTTTTGGCAAATGGAACTCTATAATTAACCCTAATGAATCCTTCTCATTAGCCTTCTGATACCCCCCGTGTTCATTATGGGGACGACGACTGAGGCGACGACTTCGACGACGACTTCGACGACGACTTGGACGACTGGGACGACGACTGGGACGACGACTGGGACGACGACTGGGACGACGACTTGGACGACGACTGCGACGACGACTTGGTCGACGACTGGGACGACGACTGGGACGACGACTTGGACGACTGGGACGACGACTTGGACGACGACTGGGACGACGACTGGGACGACGACTTGGACGACGACTGGGACAACGACTTGGCCATCCAAGTCGGCCATACATAGATCGTCAGCCAGCAACACTGACAGTCAGCCAGCAACACTGACAGTCAGCCAGCAACACTGACAGTCAGCCAGCAACACTGACAGTCAGCCAGCAACACACAGACCGTCAGCCAGCAACACTGACAGTCAGCCAGCAACACTGACCGTCAGCCAGCAACACTGACCGTCAGCCAGCAACACTGACAGTCAGCCAGCAACACTGACAGTCAGCCAGCAACACTGACAGTCAGCCAAAAACACTGACAGCCAGCAACACTGACAGTCATCCAGGAACACTGACAGCAACACTGACCGTCAGCCAGCAACAAATAGACCGTCAGCCAGCAACAAATAGACCGTCAGCCAGCAACAAATAGACCGTCATCCAGCAACACTGACCGTCAGCCAGCAACAAATAGACCGTCAGCCAGCAACATTGACAGTCAGCCAACAACACTGACAGTCAGCCAACAACACTGACAGTGAGCCAGCAACACTGACAGTGAGCCAGCAACACTGACAGTGAGCCAGCAACACTGGCCGTCAACCAGCAACACTGACAGTCAACCAGCAACACTGACAGTCAACCAGCAACACTGACAGTCAGCCAGCAACACTGACAGTCCGCCAGCAACACTGACAGTCAGCCAGCAACACTGACAGTCAGCCAGCAACACTGACCGTCAGCCAGCAACACTGACCGTCAGCCAGCAACACTGACAGTCAACCAGCAACACTGACAGTCAGCCAGCAACACTGACAGTCAGCCAGCAACACTGACCGTCAGCCAGCAACACTGACCGTCAGCCAGCAACACTGACCGTCAGCCAGCAACACTGACAGTCAGCCAGCAACACTGACAGTCAGCCAGCAACACTGACCGTCAGCCAGCAACAAATAGACCGTCAGCCAGCAACAAATAGACCGTCAGCCAGCAACAAATAGACCGTCAGCCAGCAACACTGACCGTCAGCCAGCAACACTGACAGTCAGCCAGCAACACTGACCGTCAGCCAGCAACACTGACAGTCAGCCAGCAACACTGACAGTCAGCCAGCAACACTGACAGTCAGCCAGCAACACTGACAGTCAGCCAGCAACACTGACCGTCAGCCAGCAACACTGACCGTCAGCCAGCAACACTGACCGTCAGCCAACAACACAGACAGTCAGCCAGCAACACTGACCGTCAGCCAGCAACACTGACCGTCAGCCAGTAACACTGACCGTCAGCCAGCAACACTGACAGTCAGCCAGCAACACTGACAGTCAGCCAGCAACACTGACAGTCAGCCAGCAACACTGACCGTCAGCCAGCAACACTGACAGTCAGCCAGCAACACTGACAGTCAGCCAGCAACACTGACAGTCAGCCAGCAACACTGACAGTCAGCCAGCAACACTGACCGTCAGCCAGCAACACTGACCGTCAGCCAGCAACACTGACCGTCAGCCAGCAACACTGACCGTCAGCCAGCAACACTGACCGTCAGCCAACAACACAGACAGTCAGCCAGCAACACTGACCGTCAGCCAGCAACACTGACCGTCAGCCAGTAACACTGACCGTCAGCCAGCAACACTGACCGTCAGCCAGCAATACTGACCGTCAGCCAGCAACTCTGACTGTCAGCCAGTAACACTGACCGTCAGCCAGCAACACTGACCGTCAGCCAGCAACACTGACCGTCAGCCAGCAACACTGACAGTCAGCCAGCAACACTGACCGTCAGCCAGCAACACTGACCGTCAGCCAGCAACACTGAACGTCAGCCAGCAACACTGACAGTCAGCCAGCAACACTGACAGTCAACCAGCAACACTGACCGTCAGCCAGCAACACTGACCGTCAGCCAGCAACAAATAGACCGTCAGCCAGCAACAAATAGACTGTCAGCCAGCAACAAATAGACCGTCAGCCAGCAACAAATAGACCGTCAGCCAGCAACACTGACCGTCAGCCAGCAACACTGACCGTCAGCCAGCAACACTGACCGTCAGCCAGCAACACTGACCGTCAGCCAGCAACACTGACCGTCAGCCAGCAACACTGACCGTCAGCTAGCAACACTGACCGTCAGCCAACAACACTGACAATCAGCCAGCAACACTGACCGTCAGCCAGCAACACTGACCGTCAGCCAGCAACACTGACAGTCAACCAGCAACACTGACCGTCAGCCAGCAACACTGACAGTCAGCCAGCAACACTGACAGTCAACCAGCAACACTGACCGTCAGCCAGCAACACTGAACGTCAGCCAGCAACACTGACCGTCAGCCAGCAACACTGACAGTCAGCCAGCAACACTGACAGTCAGCCAGCAACACTGACAGTCAGCCAGCAACACTGACAGTCAGCCAGCAACACTGACAGTCAGCCAGCAACACTGACAGTCAGCCAGCAACACTGACAGTCAGCCAGCAACACTAACAGTCAGCCAGCAACACTGACCGTCAGCCAGCAACACTGACAGTCAGCCAGCAACACTGACAGTCAGCCAGCAACACTGACAGTCAGCCAGCAACACTGACAGTCAGCCAGCAACACTGACAGTCAGCCAGCAACACTGACCGTCAGCCAACAACACTGAACGTCAGCATCGTCTTCCTCAACTAAGGTCAAACTTTGAAAAGATAATCATGTCTCAAGGACTAATTGTCTTAAAACTCCACTAAACAGTTTGGGATGAAACTTAAGCCCTCAAGTTTAAAATGGGGAAAAATGGGAAAAAAATGGGTAAAAAAACTCAAATAACTTAAATAGTGAGAAGCCAAGAAGATAATTACTCTGAAGTTAATTTTTGTAGTTTCTTAAACTACGACTTGTCACAAGTTAAACCTTGAGGAGTATCTTCTTGAGGTTATCTTGAGATGATTTCGGGGCTTTAGTGTAGGGAGTCGGTCGGCCGAGCGGACAGCACGCTGGACTTGTGATCCTGTGGTCCCGGGTTCGATCCCAGGCGCCGGCGAGAAACAATGGGCAGAGTTTCTTTCACCCTATGCCCCTGTTACCTAGCAGTCAAATAGGTACCTGGGTGTTAGTCAGCTGTCACGGGCTGCTTCCTGGGGGTGGAGGCCTAGTCGAGGACCGGGCCGCGGGGACACTAAAGCCCCGAAATCATCTCAAGATAACCTCCCCGCGGCCCGGTCCTCGACCAGGCCTCCACCCCCAGGAAGCAGCCCGTGACAGCTGACTAACACCCAGGTACCTATTTTACTGCTAGGTAACAGGGGCATAGGGTGAAAGAAACTCTGCCCATTGTTTCTCGCCGGCGCCTGGGATCGAACCCGGGACCACAGGATCCCAAGTCCACCGTACTGTCCGCTCGGCCGACCGGCTCCCTTTAAAGGAAAGGAAAGATGGCTATTTCTGAAGTTACAGTGTTCACCATCACTGGGGTGTTCACCTGTTCATTTCGCCTCCACCGGGGATCGAACCCGGAACCTCAGGACTACGAACGCGAACCGCTGTCCACTCAGCTGTCAGGCCCTCCATTTGAAAAGTTGAAAACATTGACCAGCAAAAAAAATGTGACATTTGTGATGGCATTCAATCCCTGATCATTTGGAAATCAATCATTTAATTAGGCTGGTTCTTTGATCATTTCAGAGGCACTAACTTAATTGCATTTTTCTCTAATGGTTATTGAGGCGCTCGGACAGTGGGGCTTCCCTGGTATGGTCCGGTCGAGCCATATATTCCGAGCACAGGTAGCCAGGGACCACCTCCGAGCACAGGGAGCCAGGGACGACCTCCGAACAGAGGGAGCCAGGGACGACCTCCGAGCAGAGGGAGCCAGGGACGACCTCCGAGCACAGGTAGCCAGGGACGACCTCCGAGCAGAGGGAGCCAGGGACGACCTCCGAGCACAGGTAGCCAGGGACGACCTCCGAGCAGAGGGAGCCAGGGACGACCTCCGAGCACAGGGAGCCAGGGACGACCTCCGAGCACAGGTAGCCAGGGACGACCTCCGAGCAGAGGAAGCCAGGGACGACCTCCGAGCAGAGGAAGCCAGGGACGACCTCCGAGCAGAGGGAGCCAGGGACGACCTCCGAGCACAGGTAGCCAGGGACCACCTCCGAGCACAGGTAGCTAGGGACGACCTCCGAGCAAAGGAAGCCAGGGACGACCTCCGAGCAGAGGAAGCCAGGGACGACCTCCGAGCACAGGGAGCTAGGGACGACCTCCGAGCACAGGTAGCCAGGGACCACCTCCGAGCACAGGTAGCCAGGGACCACCTCCGAGCACAGGGAGCCAGGGACGACCTCCGAGCAGAGGAAGCCAGGGACGACCTCCGAGCAGAGGGAGCCAGGGACGACCTCCGAGCAGAGGAAGCCAGGGACGACCTCCGAGCAGAGGAAGCCAGGGACGACCTCCGAGCACAGGGAGCCAGCGGAACCACTGGGGGTCCCCAGTGGTCGCAAAAACGAGAGTTCGAGTCAAATACATGGCTCCAAAGATTTCCTCGAAGATCCGCCGAAAATAGAAGATTACCACCATAAACTTACCAAAAACGCTCATAATTCCGCGGGGTAATTACTGAAATGCAATTAAGCTGGCTCCGGCTACATGAAACACAATTATCGATGACGTATTAGGGAAAGCTCCTTTAATTATAGGCCAGATCATTATCATGGTAATACTGTCGTTTTATACGTGAGTTGTTCCGTAATATTCCTGTAGGAACGTCAGGGTATTGACGAGTGATGGGGCTAGAGTGTCAGTGATGGGGCTAGAGTACCAATGATGGGGCTAGAGTACCAGTGATGGGGCTAGAGTACCAGTGATGGGGCTAGAGTACCAATGATGGGGCTAGAGTACCATGATGGGCTAGAGTACCAGTGATGGGGCTAGAGTACCAGTGATGGGGCTAGAGTACCAGTGATGGGGCTAGAGTACCAGTGATGGGGCTAGAGTACCAGTGATGGGGCTAGAGTACCAGTGATGGGGCTAGAGTACCAGTGATGGGGCTAGAGTACCAGTGATGGGGCTAGAGTACCAATGATGGGGCTAGAGTACCAGTGATGGGGCTAGAGTACCAGTGATGGGGCTAGAGTACCAGTGATGGGGCTAGAGTATCAATACTCTTGCTCCAATGATGGAGCAAAAAAAACTGTGGTCTCACCTAAGAGTACAACTCATCCACAATGAGTTGATGAGTAAATGAGTGTGAGAGACTCATCGAGGGATCAGCAGGGGAGAGTGAGAGCATGAGGATCCCAAGGAATAAATCCCATTGGCTACTGTTGTTTGGGATTTATTCCCAAACTCGACTCTCATAACACGGATGTTCGTGATTCGAGTCGTGATTTGTCGTATCCACGTCGTATCTCAGGTTACTCACGAGTCTTGCCTCACACCCCCTCCTGCCCCACCCCCACGACCCCACGTCCAACGACCCACGTCCAACGACCCACGTCCAATGACCTAACACCTATTTGTTCCCTCATTCAATCCGTCAGTCCGGCCTCCCACTACCCACTTGTATCACCTTACTACGTCCCATCACCCTCCTGTCTCTCCCACCTGTCTCTCCCTCCCTCCTGTCTCTCCCACCTCTCTGTCCCACCTGTCTCTCCCACCTGTCTCTCCCTCCCTCCTGTCTCTCCCACCTCTCTGTCCCACCTGTCTCTCCCTCCCTCCTGTCTCTCCCACCTGTCTCTCCCTCCCTCCTGTCTCTCCCACCTGTCTCTCCAACCTCTCTGTCCCACCTCTCTCCCTCCTGTCTCTCCCTCTTGTCTCTCCCTCCTGTCTCACCCACCTGTCTCACCCACCTGTCTCTCCCACCTGTCTCTCCCACCTGTCTCTCCCACCTGTCTCACCCACCTGTCTCTCCCACCTGTCTCTCCCACCTGTCTCTCCCACCTGTCTCACCCACCTGTCTCTCCCACCTGTCTCTCCCACCTGTCTCTCCCACCTGTCTCTCCCTCCTGTCTCTCCCACCTGTCTCTCCCACCTGTCTCTCCCACCTGTCTCTCCCACCTGTCTCTCCCACCTGTCTCACCCACCTGTCTCTCCCACCTGTCTCTCCCACCTGTCTCTCCCACCTGTCTCTCCCACCTATCTCACCCTCCTGTCTCCTACCTGTCTCTCCCACCTGTCTCTCCCACCTGTCTCTCCCACCTATCTCACCCTCCTGTCTCCTACCTGTCTCTCCCACCTGTCTCTCCCACCTGTCTCTCCCACCTGTCTCTCCCACCTATCTCACCCTCCTGTCTCCTACCTGTCTCTCCCTCCTGTCTCACCCACCTGTCTCACCCACTCGTCACTAACCATCAACCTAATCTCCTCAATCTTTCGTCAACTTCCCAGCGTTCGAACAAGCAACTTGAAGACACTGATGGAAGCACTTAATAAGGCACTTCAACCAGGTAACTGCCTACTTGAGTCATTAACTGAATATTATGCAAATTGGTATACGTAGACCCACAGAATTTATGATAAAACAAGAGCATACAACTTCAAAATTTTCTCTAGAATATCGTAAGGTCATTGCGCTAAGTAGGTGGACAAAGTCGGGTCTACGAAGAAACTGACAAAGTTGGGATATTGGGATAACTTCGTTGTACTCACCTAGTTGCCCTAGCGGGGGTTGAGCTTGGGCTCTTTGGTCCCGCCTCTAAGCTGTCAATCTACTGGTGTAGAGGTTCTTGAGTCTATTGGGCTCTATCATATCTACATTTGAAACTGTGTATGGAGTCAGCCTCCACCACATCACTGCCTAATGCATTCCATTTGTTAACTACTCTGATACTGAAAAAGTTCTTTCTAACGTCCATGTGGATCATTTGGGTACTACGTTTCTACCTGTGTCCCCTTGTTCGTGTACCACCCGTGTTAAATAATCTGTCCTTGTCAACCCTGTCAATTCCTCTGAGAATTTTGTAGGTGGTAATCATGTCTTCCCTAATTCTTGTGTCGTCCAGGGACGTGAGATTTAGTTCGTGTATGTGTGCGTGAGTGTTTGTACGTGTCCGTATGTATATGTGCGTGCGCATGTACTTATGTATGGATGCCTGTATACGTGCACGCGTGTGTTAAGAGTGCGTGTATGTATTGTATTCTCCGTGGGTCTGTATCCAAATCCACATATCGACACATATGTAAGTATCCCACACGTAACTATGGGTTGCCGGCGGGTGTGTAAATATGTAGCAGGCTTGGCATTGATCTTGGTGTTGGTGGGTACACAACTGCTCCCCCCACCCCATCCCCCCACTCCACCCCCGTACCCCACACCCCCCACCCCATCCCCCCACTCCACCCCCCTACCCCACACCCCCCACCCCATCCCCCACCCCCCTCCAAACACTTTACACATGATTGATCAGTATATACACTTTAACAAATATGGATCACCCCCCCACCACCACCACCTGTATTATATGTATTTTTTTGTATTAAATTCTACATACAGGGGATAAATATGTGGGATTGTTACATGTGGAGCGACTCTTGCTTCTGCCATAGTCCCCGCGAGAGGTCAACGTTACATATCAGCTATTAAGTAAAAACTTATACCACTTATAATATATACAGGCTTTTAAGTAGGGCGCTGATTCTTCACTGAATCAAGTGAATCAGTGATTGAACTGATTCCTCAACTTCATTTGATGATGAATCAATCAATTCTGATTGATTGACAGTTTCAGATATTTTGGGATCCAGATATTCACATGTACCAAAATGCTTGATTTGTGAAGTAGACAGATTACAGAGTATCTTGTAGCCATGTGACTGGCTGTCGCGATTTGTAGCCTGTCTGTCTGTCTGTCTCTGTCTGTCTGTCTCTGTGGATACTAATCAAGATGCAAAAAATGGGTTTATTAAGGTGTTCTCAAACGTGAGGTCAGAGGTCAATCAGGTGACCGTTTCAAGTGGGTTGTATCGGCTCTCAACTCATAGATTTAAGTCGCCAGGGTTACCCAACCAGTTGCTGACCAAAGTTAACTATGTTTAACCAGTGATAATCCAGTGACGCCCATCCACTAGCTTCATCAGTAAACTTAAGAACGACGGAGTCCAGGAGCTGTAGCTAAATCCACCAAACACAACCAGGTAAGAACACACACACACACACACACACATACCTGCATGTGTACACAGCAAATACACACGCTGGCGCGCGCACACACTTGTAGGACGCACGTTCGTGCACTCCTGAACTCCTAACGAACAAGCTGAGTCAGACAGAGAGAGAAAGCAGTGTGTGCCAAGAAGGGTGCCACTAGAGAGCCAACACATCACTAGGAATTAACTCCTTGCCGGCCTGAGCGGGTGACTGCGTCAGTATGCCGCAGTCACCCCTTGCAGCATGCTAGAAAACGCCCCTCTCGGTTATCTTGAGGTTATCTTCAGATGATTTCGGGGCTTTAGTGTCCCCGCGGCCCGGTCCTCGACCAGGCCTCCACCCCCAGGAAGCAGCCCGTGACAGCTGACTAACACCCAGGTACCTATTTTACTGCTAGGTAACAGGGGCATAGGGTGAAAGAAACTCTGCCCATTGTTTCTCGCCGGCGCCTGGGATCGAACCCGGGACCACAGGATCACAAGTCCCGCGTGCTGTCCGCTCGGCCGACCGGCTCCCTTACCAAGGGAGGCACCAAAAACATTACCCTAACAAAAATTCCCATAGCTGCTTGCAGATGACATTTGACAATAAACAAAATTATGATTTAAACGTAAATTACCAAGAATCAAGAGAAGATACAATCAAACCTTAATAGACTGAAGTGAGAGGCAGACACGAGCTTCCTTGAAGATTACAACTCACCTGGAAAGATATCACATCATTAGTTGAACAGTTATGAGAATGGAGAGATGAGAAAGCAAGGAATTACGTGGAACGGGGGGGGGGAGAGTGAGAGTGAGAATTATAGTTCCCTATGTGATAGTTTCAAAGTACTACATTCTCATGAAATGTGTTTCTGGAGCAGGCTTCAGATGCGCTGAGGTAGGATAACAGCTCTGGCTTGCAGTTTAGCTAGGAACGTCATTTGACAGCCCTTATGTTTAAACTAGCCTTAGTTTAAAAGAGAGAGAGAGAGAGAGAGAGAGAGAGAGAGAGAGAGAGAGAGAGAGAGAGAGAGAGAGAGAGAGAGAGAGAGAGAGAGAGAGAGAGAGAGAGAGAGAGAGAGAGAGACAGAGAGACAGAGAGAGACAGAGAGAGACAGAGAGAGAGAGAGAGAGAGAGAGAGAGAGAGAGAGAGAGAGAGAGAGAGAGAGAGAGAGAGAGAGAGAGAGAGAGAGAGAGAGAGAGAGAGAGAGGCAGAGAGAGAGAGAGAGGCAGAGAGAGAGAGAGGCAGAGAGAGAGAGAGAGAGAGAGAGAGAGAGAGAGAGAGAGAGAGAGAGAGAGAGAGAGAGAGAGAGAGAGAGAGAGAGAGAGAGAGAGAGAGAGAGAGAGAGAGAGAGAGAGAACCAGTCACCCCTTCCTCCCCCCCCCTCCATGGATAAAGATGAGCACCCATCCACCCTATGTCCACACCCCGGATACTTAACTGGG